AGTTCCACCCGTGCTTCACATAGGTTTACCACCAATTTCAAGAGTTCTCCATACCTTTACTCTCCTAGCTTATATGTTAATACCTTGAAAGTCCTTTTGATCCTAGAGGGTTAAGTCATTCAATGATGGCGGGAAATAGGAATCAAGCCTATAGAGCGAGTTTGCATAGCCAAGATGTCGGGTAACCTTCTCAATGTTTTTAATTTCTTATTTATTTTCCGGTTTCTTCGTGGAATCATGAGAAGCTAACTTGAAAGTGGATTTGAAACTAGTAGAGAGAACGTGGTTTGATTGGTTGAAACAAAAGGTGGAATGTGTTTCCTTTAGTTCTCTATGCTTAGCATATGTTATGTTTCAATCAACCTTGGACATCTTAGATAGTGCATACCTTTATTATTTTAGAAAGATTGACATTCATTAGTGTTTGTTCCATCATAAAAGTCCACTCTAGAACGCTTGTAACTTTTCTCTTACTTCGATTTATTTTATTTTATTGTTTTTTTTTGCCTTGCCTTGATTTTTGTCAAGAGTTATGGGTTAAACTTTTAGGATACCCTTACGAGAGCATACTCGTCCTCTAGAGCGATCTATGGGGTTTAAAGTGCTTGATGCATGCGCTAAATGCATTCGTGATTCCTACGAAAGTGAGTTAGTGTATATTCTTTCTCTTCTAGTTTTATTTTATTTTATTTTTTTTTTTAAAAAAAAATTATACATCGTTTTCCGTTGTGTTTGTTTTGCTCGAGGATGAGCAAAAGTTAAGCTTGGGGGTGTTTGATGAGTGACATTTATGTTACCCTTAGGGGTAGTGTATTGGTCTCTTTTCTCCTGTTTTTCTTAGGTTTGCTACCTCTTTTCTCCTCTTATGGCTTCCTTTTCTTTTATGGATGAAAATTATGCTTATTTGCGCTTGTTTTGATAATCTTAATGCATAATTTTATCATCCCCATGCTCTCGTGATCTTTGCTATCTTTTGCAGGTTCCATGACGGTCCTAAGCACGGTAGGAGGCCCCTTGGCCAAGTATGGAGGCATGGACAAAGACAAGAGGAGCAAAAGGGAAGAAGAGGAAGTTCAAGAGGAGGTGTGGCCGAACCTCTAAGAGGTTCGGTCGAACCAAGGTGTGGTCAAACTTTTGAAAAGTTCGACCGAACCTCCAAGGCAGTTTCAACCAAGTTTTCAGCATGTTTACAGGAGGGGTCGAACCAGGAAAGTTCGACCAAACATGGATCAGGGAGGTTCGACCGAACCTACCTTGAGTTCGGCCGAACCTACCCTGAGTCCGACCGAACCTACCCAGAGTTCGGTCGGACCTTTTCCCGTTTCAGCTGACTTTTTGCGGAGCTTCCTAAGCAATTTTGTAAGGGGTATAAATAGTTTTTTTTGCTCATTAAAGAAAAAAGGATTTTTCAGTTTTAGAATAGTTTTTAGGTTAGTTTTAGGTTTTAGAGAGAGAAACTCTCAAAATTTTAGAGAGAGAAAGTGAGGAGCACAATGGTTTTCATGGATTTTGGATAATCAAATGAGGAATTTGAAGATCTCCACCTTATATCAATGAGCATTTCTTACTTTCTCTTCTCTTATTGCTTTATTTAGTTGCTTTCATTATGCTTGAGTAGTTTCCCTTCTACTAGGTGTTGAGTGAGACTTTGTAATGATTGTTTGAGTTATTTGAGATAAATTTGATGATAATTGTGTGATTAAATTGATTGAATTGATGTTGGCATGTTGTTTGTTTTAGATTGGATTGATCTCCCATGATAGCACACTTAATTGCATATTGGTTTTAGTTTGACAAGGGATTGTGAATTAGAATTGATATATTTGATTGCATTTTGGGTAATTTTCTTCTATGCACCTAGTCAATGAGGGATCTAGGCTAGGAATTTGAGAGATTACTTTTGAGTGTAGTTAATTCTCATTATAATTCTTTCTTTGCATGATTGATTATCAAATGGATTCTCATTAGCTTATTAATTGTTCTAAGTGGATCTTTTCCCCTAGTAGACTTTATCATACCTTGTTCTTTATATGTGTTTTAGTGTAGTTGTAGTGTCCACTATCCATAAACCGATTTCGGCGTAGCTTAAGCATTAGATCGAGAACAATCCAACATTACCGTTCCTTGTGGTTCGACTCCGAACTTACCACTAGACTTGTTTAGGGGTTAGTTTTAGGATTTATAAATTTATTTGATTGAGTGTGGAATGTGCGACCGTTCTAACGCCCGTCATTAGTAACTTCAAGGAAAATAATAAAACAGTAAATCTAATCAAAGAATTGTAATAAGTTATGGGACCAGACCCTCAGAAATTATCAACATTTCACGTCTAGGGCGAAGGCAACCTCGAACTTGGCTATGTGTGTCTAGAGCGAATGTATGTGGAATTTTGTAAAAGGGAAGGTTTAGAAAAAGAATAGAGAGAGAAGGAAAGCTTCTAGCTTTTAGAGAGAGAATAGAGAGAGATGATGATTGTGAATCATTAAAAACGGGGAGATATGACCCCTATTTATAGAAAAAATAGCTCGGAAACGATATAAAAGAGTTCGATTCCTATTCGGAATAAAAAGAACTCCTTTCGTCAACGACAGGAGTTAGCGCCAGACGACAGACCTGTTGTTTGGCGCCTGTACAATTTTTTTGCGGATTTTGTTTTTATCATATCTTTTGATACAGAAGTCCAAAAAAGTCATATAATATGTCGTTGCAAAGCTTTTGAAGTCTACTTTCCAACCCAATTAGAATCAGATTAAAATCTTTTATAGATAAAAATATATTGCTGAAATAGTGGAAGAGTGTCAGTTTTGGATAGAGTTTCATATTTCTTTCATATCTTTTTCGTTATAGTTCGAAATTAATATTATAATATATTATTGGAAAGATAATTTCAATTTATCCAACCATATAAGAATTGGATAAAGATTATGAGGCACAAAAATAATATCTGACTGTCTTTGAACATCTTTAAATTCGAATAGAATTAGGACTTAAAAAAAAGGAAAGTTTTATTCAATTTCAAACTCTTTAATTTTATCTTTTCAAAAAGGATAATTAAGATCTTTTAGAAACTCATAGAAGATTCTAATAAATCCTAATTAGTTTTAGGAATAGGATTAAACCTTTGGACCCCCACATGATCATTGGGCCGTAAGTGAAATCCGGTTTGAGCCCAGTTTAGTATTTTGACCGTAACTTCCTCATTATTCATCGGAATTGGGCTTTAATATATTGTTGGAAAGGTCTTTTCAAGCCCCATCCAAATACACCATTGTTGGACCCTTATCATGGACCAAACTAAACTAGATTGAACGTTTTCATAAATAGAGTAAGAAAAAGGAATATTTTTGAAAACAGAAAGAAAGTAATTTATTAAAAACATCCACATCACTAGACTTTCCACATTTTCTCTTCGTTCGATAATCACATGACGTGAAATATATTCATCACTGTGTTTTGTTTTGGGGAGACACGTTTGGGTGTCTACAACCATATTTAACATAAAAATGTTATCTTAAAATTTTATCAATCTGGGCATCGCCGGACATAAAACTAGTATATATATAAAGAGCAGTATTTTCCCGAGTTTTTAGAGAGAAATGTAGGATTAAATTATCTTAACGCGCCATGTAAGATTATAAATTTTAGATGTAGCCAATTAAATAAGATATTCGTAAATTCTTTTAGAATTAAATAATTCAAATATTAAAAAAGGAAAATTGGCAAATGAAATTTTAAAGTTTAAATTAATTAAGTTTATACTCCCTCCATTTTTAAATACTTGCTCCACTTTTCATTTTCGTCCGTTTTAAAATACTTGCTCGGTTGCTCCATTTCCTTATTTGAAAAGTTTTTACAATATTTAATTTATTTCTCTCAATTAGTGAATAGAATTATATCTTATTACCTTTAGATTCTTTCTCTTCTAATTTACCTTCACCAATCCCCATTATCTCCATATTTTATTACTTTCTCCAATTTTTTCTAAAACTCCGCATATGGAGAAATGGAGAAAGTATTTAGAAACCGAGGGAGTATAAACAAATGAAAGAAAATTTACAATTTATTTTAATATAAAATATTAAATGATATACTAGGCACAACGAATAAAATAGCAAATTTATCACATAAATAAAAAAATGTTTGATTTAAAAAATACAAACAACTCGTGTATCGCACGGGCTGGCCAATTGACCAGATTGGTAATTATTAAAAGAGACCCTTAGTGACAATTTGGTATAAAAACTTTCCATATGAGAGAATTTGGTAAAAACAATAAACTTCAAGACATTTAGACCAAATAATCTTTTTTTTTTCCTATAAGCTCTTTAAAAATCCTATTTAAGTTGTTTTCGTGTTTTTAAATTTATTTTCCTATTCATAATTTTGAATTAATATGTCATCCCATTATATTTTGCTAAATCCTGATACCAAATTTATTTCCAACTTTTTTTTACAAAAATTTCGTTAATAAAGGGTATGAAACTTAAATGAAAATTGATACTTAACATTTTTTTTTCTTGAAATTGTTATTTTCATAAAAAGGGTTGGTAAAAAAAACCATGAAAACGAAATAAATTAAGCATTCACGAGTAATTTGTCGGAGATTTTTGTGTTTTTGGGTTAATTGTCGCATGGGATTATTTTATTTACCAAATTGTAGCTCAAGTTTTTTGTTTTATTTTTTTTAGCAATATTGTCACTAGAGTTATTTTTTTTACCAATTTATCACTAAGGTTATTTTTTAATTACCAATTTGGTCAATTGGCCCGCACGGGCTTCATCTACTCCCTCTATGTTTAAAAAAGTGTTACAGTTTGACCAAACACACATATCGAGACACTAATTTGACCATTAATTTATCTAATTAAATGTTAGTAAAATTTCCCTACCTTATCCCTAGTATAAAGTTGTTCTTATAAATAGTGTGATTTCAATTTTACCTTCAAAAAGTTTATTTACATTTTTATCCTCCATTAATATGCCTAAAGTTATTTTGATCTCCTTTCTCTTTAAACGCCCCTTTCTTTTTCTTTCTCCTTCCTCCTCGAGGTCTGTGGTCTATTGAAGCGACCTACGAGTTCTTCATTGAAGTGCGTACTGAACTTTCTCTCTTCCATTAAATCAGTTTATAACGTGAGGTAATTTTTGTAAAAAATTATTGAGTATCACTTTCACAATCTGGATTTATTAGTAAGCTTCCTGTCTATGTTTTTGTTTCATCAATTTGAATAGCGAAAAAAAATTGAAATGCATGCATCTGAATCAATTGATAGATTATGCTGAATCAATGCATGTATCTCTAAATTGGCGTTTAATTATGCTGATAATCGCACTTTAAATTTCATATTTTCTGCTTTCATTCTTCACTATTTCTCTCCTTTGGTTAGATTGAATAATCGATTGATAGAATTTCACAACCCTTATTTAGTCTATCAATTGAATTGAGACGAATTGATTATAGTATATATTTTGGGGTTGTTTGGCAATCGGCGGTTGGTTGTTGGTTGTTGGCTTGGCTTGTTTGACTAGCTGGAAGTATTAGCCGTATGGGTTGGCCTTTTAAGTTATTGTGTTAAGCTGACTGTTTTCAAAAGTGTTTGGTAAAATTATTAATGATTGTTAGCTGTTTATTAGTGATAAAGTAGACCAACAAGCCAAAAGCCAATAAAAAAAGCTACTCTTATTAGCTTTTGGCGGAAAAGCTAGCTTAAAAGCCAATAAAAAAGCCAACAACCAAACATATTTTTTGGCTGTTTGACCAAACTTAAAAGCCAAAAGCTAGGCAAAAAGCCAATTGCCAAACACCCCTTGATCTTGCGCGTTTTTTTTTTCCAGCTAAGCAGGCTTCTCCCCCGGTGGTGTTATGGGTATGCAAGTGGAATTTGGGCTATCATCATAGACTAAAGCCCGTTCTTTTGCTGAAGAAATATATTCTCGTGCTCTTCATAAGAAAACTTGGTTAATGTGAGTTTGGTATTTAATTTGATCTATTGTTTTAAGATGTTTCCCTTAACCATTTTGAGGTGCGACAGAGTAACTTGATCTACATATATATTAAAACTAATTAGGCCTTAGAGTTTCATGTTTATTTATGTGATTTTGCTAAAATAGAATGTATGCCGGGTTTAATTGAACTTATTTTTGTTTGGAAGGATTAGTATAGTTTCATGTTTTTCTGTATGTGTCCAACCAAACTAAAAGCCATTAAGGGGAGGGAGTCGTGGCATCTATCTTTTAGCTTACCCTATACATGCCCATTTCTTATACTTGAATTTGGTATGTGACTTTTTCTATGGGTTATTGGGAGTTAATAGCCTTGTTTGGCAAATGGCTGTTGGCAGTTAATTGGTTCACTTGGCTTGTTTGACCAGCTGGAATGTTTGGCTGTTTATAATGGCTTTTGAAATTGGCTGTTTAAGCTGGCTGTTTATTAAAGTGTTTGGTAAATTAATTGTTGGTTGTTGGCTATTTATTAGATAATTTGTGGGCCAACAAGCCAAAAGCCAACAAAAAAGCTACTCAAAACAACTTTTTTATTTTGGCTTAAAAGCCAGCTTTTTTGCGGACTAAAAAGCCAATTACCAAACACATTTTTTGGCTATTTGACCACCTAAAAAAGCCAAAAGCCAAAAGCTAACCAAAAAGCCATTGAAAAGCCAATTACCAAACATGGCCAATATCAAACATGGGTTCTTCTATTGCAAATTTATCATTGATGAAAACTTTATATATCAGACTACTAAAGCCTTGTTCATATCTGTCTTTTGGTCTCATAGGTCAAACCTCCGTGGAACCTTGGTCCTTCTTCGATATATTGGCAGAGTTGCGGATAAACTGACTCTATATGCAAAAGATTTATATTAAACTGGAAAGTTTTTTTTCCCTATATTCTCTATACAATTTGGTCTTAACAGCTCAGATGTTTTAACCTAAACTGTGGTTCTGATGCTGTATGCTTTTCTGTACAGATTGATCTATTATTGGAGTATCTACCTAATCTTGAGAAGGATGGATCTTAGTTTGAAGTAGGTTGCAGCTATCTGGATGCCTACTTATCGACTAATACCATATTGGTTGGCCATGATGTGTCGATTGCTGACACATTTTTGTGGGCTGCCCTTGCTGGTAATGAGTCTTTAATCTCACCTTCTAGACCAAATATGGGCTGAAGGAGTATAAGAGTCATAGTATGAGGAAGAATAAAAATCAATATTTGTTGGCTCTGGGTAACAAGTGGGAAGTTATATTATCTATGCCTAGAGTTCATTTGCTGCTAAAGTTTCTTATAGGTTGATAGTTCAAGTGAATATATATGCTAGAAAAATCCAATTGACCTGATCAGAACTAAAGTAACCCCTGCTTCTTTAAGCCTTTTTATTGCACGACAATGTAAATTATAGTGTTTACCTCTTAGATTTGTTTTCTTGGCAATCATGACATTTCCATAAACCAATTTAATAAATACAATGTTGAATTTACAATAACTCTAGGTTTTTACAAGATATTAAGTTTGTTATTTATTCCTCTGCTTTCAAGGTGTGAAAATATACATTGAAAATGATTATTGTTTGGTTTAGGGATATGGTAGTTGGCAATATACATGAAATCCAACTCGATCTTTTAAGAGCAGCTGAATTTTAATTTTTTTTAGAATAAGAAATGTAGAAGTCATAGATCTAAACTTTGTAAGAGAACTATATATCTTAATGGAGCTTTGATAGAATGCATGTGACTAATTTCAGAAAGAGGAAAAGCAATTGTCTGTTCGTTTTTGTATAGTTTCTAATCTTTGATGAGTTAATTTGGTGCAATGGTGGCCTTTGGTGTTTTTAAATATATAGTATTGTTATCATATACTGCAAAATCCAACTGATAAATAGTTTAGTTCCTTCTGTAGTATAAGAGAGAGAAAATAGTTGTTGTAATAGTATTAATGCAGTGCATCCTTTTTTTTTTCTCCCCATGTATATTTCGTTTTTGGGTCTTTTCGTATTATCTGTAGTTGTAGTAGTAATAGTAATGATGAAATTTCGGAAACTCAATTTAAGTGTTCTAACAGCTACTGTGAGCCTAATGGTTGCTTTAGTGTCGAATAATTATGATGCATACTAGAGTTGTATTCCTATATGTGTCAAAATCTTGAAAAAACTTGATAGGAACCAGGATGTTGATGTTAATGCTGCAATTTAGGGTAATAATGGTGTTGGCCGAAGTGTGGTTATGTTGTAAGTGTTGTGGGCTACCAGTTGTCAGGTAAGAAATGCAAGGAGCGCTAGCATAGCGAAGGTGAAATAAATTGTCTTTTAGGTTGTAAATGTCAATGCGATACAATTACAATGCTACTTCCGTGGTGGTGGAGAGTAAAGATCAAAGTAATTGCTTGAAGACCATTAAAATGATCAAGGATAAGTCGTTAAAGGGGTCTTATGTTGGTGTTATTGTAGTAATTTTAATATAGTTTCTTTTAGTCGGATATATAGGGGAGTCAAACGAAGTAACTTTGTGGATGAGTGTTCTTTGGCCCATGGTTATTATGTCTCACAGATGTATTATAGTCTAATGTATTTGGATAAAGAGGTTTGAAGATATATTTTGCTTTACTTTTTGTGTTACTGTCCTGATTTAATCCCATGAAAGGAATTATTTTTATATCTACTATTTCCTCCATCATATGATCCAAAGACTATCTAATTACAAGTAAATATATTTCTTTACATAACCTTGTGTTTATTGAGGAATTTGTATCTTCGAATTTTATTTAGCTTTCAAAAGTTTCAATAATACATAGCCTTGTGGTTTCCCCTCTGAAAATAAATGATTTAATTTAGTCAACTTAGTCAACTTTGACTGAACAACTAACTGTATTACTCGAAAATCGAATTTCAAGGATTCTATATCGTACATAGTGACTAGGCTTCGCCATTATTCCTTAAGTGTTGTATTTCTGCACTTGTTAAACTAGAAGAATATCTAGACTAGTAGAAAGGGGTGCTTTTGATAATTACCTCATTCACACTATCCAAATTTCCATTGATTTGTGTGAGACAACACCTCCCCAGTCATGGAATGATATATAAAGTTCCAAACTTATGAAATAATAGCTCTAGGTTTTCTTTAAAAATACATCGTTTTAAAAAATCATTGAAACACAAAATATGTTTTTATAATAAAATATATAATATAATGTCTATGGATCAACATAATTATATAAAGAAAAATCTTACTAAATAAGTGTAATTCAAAGGTAACTAAAAGTCTGTAAATTACGAGATTCTAATACATAACATCCCTGTGATGGCTAGCCATGCCGCGCGCATCGCGCGAGTGAGCTCCCCTAGTTATAGGAAAAAATGATACCCTCCGTTTTTAAATACTTGATCCATTTTCCTTTTCCGACCGTTTTTAAATACTTGCTCCATTTTCTTATTTAGAAAACTTTTATAATATTTAATTAATTTCTCTCACCTAGTGGACCCAACTTAAATTATTTTTTTATTAATTTCATATTCTCTCTCCTCTAATTCTCTCAACTACTTTTACTTTATACAATTTTTTATTCTTCCACCCACCCCACTATCTCCATATTTTATTACTTTCTCCAATTTCTCCTAAATCTCCGCACATGGAGAAATGAAGCAAGTATTTAAAAACGGAGAGAGTATTATATAAAAGCATACATTATAATGAATTTAACAATGTATTCTACAATAACATTTATCTTTTTGTATATTTGTACGCTAATCGAGTCAAAACCATTATATTGAATAGTTAAAAAAGTCAAATTATAATATTTATTAAAACACAGAGGAAGTAGTATCTTAATATTTTTTAAAGCAAAGTAGTATTTTAATAGGAAAATTTGGCACCAATATTATGACCTTTGCTCGGTCTGCCATAAATAAAATCACCTTTTGATAATCCCCCAATAAAACGACATTTGCACACGATCTTCCAAAAATAGGTTAAAACCGGTTGGTAACCTGTTTGATGGGTAAGTATAACACGCATTGTTATTAAAATCCCGATTTAAATCTTAGAATCTTACGATTTTACGATTCATGTATATCATACGATTCGATTTACGATTCTACATATTTTTCTGAACTAACGAAGTCCTTACAAGTAAAAAAAATGTTCATATAGGTTTTTATAAATAAATATTGTCAACTATTGATTGCTTAATGGTTAAATAACTATTATCTATCAATAATTAGGTTTCAAACTCATAATTTCAATATATTTAATTAAATTTATATTTGACATCTTGATTATGCATGTCGGTAGAGTCTTACGATTCTACGACTCGATTTTACGATTCGATTCCGATAGCCCCTTGTAGAATCCCGATTTTAATAACTTTGATAACACGTGTCACTTTGTAATTTGTTATTTTTTTTAAAAAAAAACTGATTTATTTAAAAAATTGATTTTAATATGATTTTTAAAAAAAAAAAAAACAAAACCCCCCATTCTTGTGAATCCCGTTCCCGTGAATCGACTGCTTGAGTATGAGCGGTGGCTTTGGTGTGCGGGTCTGGGCTACAATGGAGAAAGAGGTGGCGGGTTTAGGCTGGAGAGAGAGGGAGAAGTTGCGGTGCTGCTAGGCGGTTTTGCGGGTTGCGAAGGAGAGGGAGAGGGTTCTGGTTGTGGATTGTTTCACTTATTTGCGAAGGAGAGTAGGGGTTGCGGGCTGTGGTTTGCTTGCGATGCTGCGGGCTGTGGGTTGCTTGCGATGCTGCTGGCTGTTTGGTTGCGGCATGGTGGTGGAAAGGGGGAGGTTGGAGTTGTGTGGTGTTGAGATAAGGTGGGGTTGTGACTATGTGAGGTAGGTGCGTGGTGGCTGGGCGGTTTTGATGGTTGTTGAATTGGTGGGTGTTTGGCTAGTAGGCTGCGAAGTTGCAGTCGGATTTTGGAGGGGAAGGTGGTGCTGCCGGTGCTTGGTGGGGAGGATTTTTTTTTTGTTTTTTTTTTTTTAATTAAATTTTTTAATTTTTTTGATTAAATTTTTTAATATTAATTTATTTCCTAAAAAGAAATATGTTAAAATTAAAATAAAAAAATCTACCTAATCATAGGATAACACGTGTCCATCTTTAACCTACTTAACAAGTTACCGGTTTTTTTTATCATATTCTTAGAAGATCATGTGCAAAAGTCGTTTTATTGGGGGATTATCAAAAGGTGGTTTTATTTATGGCAGATCGAACAAAGGTTATAATATTCATGTCAATTTTTCCATTTTAATATTTGTTATGCATTACTATTTTTTTTTTTTTTTTTTGATAAAATTACTACTTTCCTGGATTAACTCATACTTGTTTAAATTTTCTATACTCATCATAGTCCGGCCCATGAAAACGTTCAAAATTCAAAGAGACAAAGACCATCCAGTTCTCCGTTAAAACGTTCAAAATTGTGGCGGGGGGCTCGGCCGGCTCGCAAGTCGTCATCGCTGAAAAAAATGCCTAGAGTGTTCTATTCCATGCTCCTATATCAGTGAGTCGGAAGATGATTGCACTTCCAATAACCTGAATTGTTGTATTACCTTCAAAAAAAGGTTAGTGGTTCTAATTTCTATACTTTTTAATTGCTTCAAAATTGCAGACTTATTGATCTTTAATTTTGTATAATTATGTTTTATGTATGGCAATCTATACTTTTTAACTTGCTTCAAAATTGCAGTCTTATTAGTCTTTAATTTTGTATAATTATGTTCTAACTATGGCAAATTTGTTGCTGCTAATTTGTGAAACCCCAAATTTCATTGTTGATTATAATAATTCCGTTTTCAAATGAAGTAAATTTTGATTTATTTTTCTAGCTTTTGTTGCTGTTTTGATTTTAGGTATATCAATGTTAGGAATGCAATTGTACAATTTGTACCAAAAAAAGGTACTTGTTCATTACTCTTCATGGTATTACTTGCTTCGTCTTTAATTAAATTCAATCTTACTGCTTTTTATAAAATTCCTTGTATCATACCCCGTATTCTTTTTTTTTTTTTTTTTCTGCGTATATTTTGATTGTGCAACGTGTAAATCATGAATAACAAAAACATGTTCATAGCTTGAATAGTTGAATTATAAACATACAATTCATGATTGTGGAAGCGTTAATTTATGAGTTTACCTCTTGCCATTGCATGTTAACTATGAGGAAGACAAAGACCCGAATAACCTTGCCGCGACGCCAAAATCGCGAATGAACTCTTCTTAACTTTGGTGCTAAACACTCGCTATCACTTTTGATGATGTTTATGCGTATTTGAGAGTTGAATGCAGTTAGGGATGTTTGTGGGGCGAGTCAAGTAGGAGACCCGCCCAAGTGGGGCGGGGACGGGTCTTGGTTTGGCGGGTGGTGGGGCGGGGATGGGGATAAAAACCATACCCGCCATGGGTGATGGGGCGGGGGTGGATTTTAAGTTGTGCCCGCCCCTCTTTGTACCCACTCCATCCCCATCTCATACCAACATCTATATATATTTATAAACAAAATTATATACTACCTCCGTTACATATTATTTGCAACGATTTGACATAAAGTAGAGAGAAAAAATGTCTAATCGTTGCAAATAATATGTAACGGAGGTAGTACGTTTATACTATTTTATAAAATAATTACTTGAAATAAAATATTAATTATAATACTTTATACTACACTTATATTATAAACAAAAACGTGTGTAATATCAAGAATGTTTTTTTTTAAAAATTATTTTAATCCGTATTAATTATTATTTTGTTGGATTATGTATTTAAGAGGCGGAGATTAGGTGGGTCTTGGGTGGGGATTGGGCGGGTCTTTGGTGGGGGTGGATATCCAATTGGGGCTGGGGCGGGATGGTTTTAGAGTTGTACCCGCCGGTGAGAATAGGGATGAATTTTGGACCCGGCGCGAGGATGGGGATGAAAATGTTAGGTAGGGATGTGGATAGGAAGACCAACATCCGCCCCGCCCCGTTCGGAAAACAAATTTCCAAGATAAATGGACCACTTAACTTAATTAAGTATTATTTATTTTCAAAATAAATCCAACATTCTGCCACTTGGTCCCTTTAAATAGAATACTAAATATATAAATCATAGCGACGAATTCCTTAATGACGAAAACTAATCTTCCATGTATCACAATATATTCAGCTTTCCATCACTCATACAACTTAATGAGTAAATCTCATGTTCACTCTAGGTCAAACAAAAATGACATTTCTTATTGAAATCACTAAATTTTCAAAATTACGTACATAAATTCAAATAATGCAAGAAATATCAAAACTGATTGAAAAAGGTTTCAGTACTCTCTTTGTGTTTTAATAAGTGTTACACTTATAAAATCCGGCCGTGTTTTAATAAATGTTACACTTCCTTTTATGACATAAAACTATATTTAAATATTATATATCTCTCTCCTTTCATGGTCTCCACCTAAACTCAATACTACTTTTTTTATTATATCTTTCCTCTCACATTTATTACTTTTCAATAAAGTATTAATCCTAAATCATTCTTTTATAATTTTTTAATATTCCAACTACCCCACTTACCTCTTAATTTATTTAAATCAATTAAATTGATTAAAACTATGTGCCGGTCAAACTGTAATACCTTTTAAAACACGGAGGGAGTACAACATATAAATGTTTCACATGACAAATTCAAGTACCATCTTTTCTGCATGACCCCTAGAAACAACCATTAACTGGCACACCTTTGGTCAAGGGATCAACAATCATCAATCATCAATCCAGTTAATGTGTTCTATGATCACTTTCTTTTCTTGAGCACGTTCCTTATTGGGCGAATGATAGAGTCAACAACTCTTAACCCAGAGATGAAACCTTTTAGCCAAACACCATGTGAGGTAGCCTCGTAACAAGACATGAACTCAGCTTCCATAATAGAATTAGAAATTAAGGTCTGCTTCACACTTCTCCAAGAGAGGGCACCATCAGCTACCATGAACACATATACTGTGGTGGATTTTCTCGAGTCAATGTAGCCACCGTAATCGGAGTCAGAATAGTCTTCAAGATCTTCTGTTCATCCACACATAGGAGTCAGAATAGCCCACAACTTCAAGATCTTTCGTTCCTCTATACATAAGCATGTAATCCTTGAACCAGCCTTCAATGATTAAGACCTGGGTTACTTTGATATCTTCCCAATACTCCAACGGCATGTCAGGTCTAGTATAATACTTCCAACAACTTAAGCATAAGGAATATTTCTCATTTGTTCCTTCTAGTCCAATTTGAACCTATCACCCTTTATAATAGGTGCTACACTTGGTGAACAATTTTTCATATTAAATCTTTCAAGTATTTTGTTGATGTAGGGCTCGGTCCCACCCGTATCCTTCATATCAAAACTATTTAAAAGAAATTGTTTCACATCATGTAACAACCCTTTATCATTAGCTGCTAGCAAAATATCATCTACATGTAACACAAGGAAACATATCTTACTCCCACTAACCTTGTGGTATATACATTGATCCATGATATTTTCTTCAAAACCAAATGAAGTTATCACTTTATGGAACTTCATATACTATTGGTGTGAAGCCTGTTCATATATGGATTTATTAAGCTTATTTATTTATTTTTGAAAAGAAATCGTTGACTAAAAATACTCCAAAATTTGGGGTATTACAATTAGAAGCGTGGTGGACACACAAATATATTTCAAACAGACAGAGAGGTAAACACATGTACTAAACAATACTCTTGTATCTCTTACAAAATGTGTGTCTTACTTTTGTACTTCTTTCTTCTTAGTACAAAATGAATTATATATTGCGTTAATATGATATTGTTGTATGCTAATAAATGAATGTTACTTTTAATACTTCTTTCATTCTCACATTTTAATATCTTTGCTTGTTTTTCTCATTTCCATGAATATATTGATGTGAAGTTTATTTATCTATTTATAACACTCCCCCTTAAACTTGACTTTCTCACAATACCAATTAGCTTATGCATCCTATTAAAATCTTCAAACTTCAATGGCTTCGTAAAGATAACCGCAATTTGATCCAAAGACTTTACGAACTTTAATTCAATTCCATTCTATTCGATGCACTGCCGTATAAAAGGGAATCTTGTACTAATATGTTTACTTCGGTCATGAAAGACAGGGTTTTTCGCCAAAGCAAGAGCTGACTTGTTATCGGTCATAATCTTAGTGGGTTCCTTTTGTGGTAGTTGGAGTTCCTTTAGTAATCACACGAAGTAGCAGCAATGAATTCTGATTTACATGTAGATAGTGTAAAATTGGTTGTTTCTTTGAACTCCATGGAACAACAATGTTTCCTAGTAGAAACACATAACCCGTTGTACTTTTACGATCATCAATGTCTCTAGCAAAATCACTATCACAATATCCCATAAGCTTGAAATCATGTGAAGTAGAGTATATTAACCCATGACCTAATGCGCCTTTTAAATAGCGGGATAATTCTCTTTGCAGTATTCAGATGAAGAGGAGATGGATTCTTTATAAAGTGACTTACTAGTCTAACGACAATTAATATGTCTGTCTAGTGCAAGTTATGTATCTTAAACTTCCTACTAGACTCTTAAATAAGGTTGGATTTACCTTTTGTCCATACAAATCATTCTTTGACAATTTCACTCCATACTCCATTGGAGTGCTCACTTGATTAACGTTCAACATATTGAATTTCTTCAATACTCCTTTTGTATAAGCATCTTGTGAGATTAAAATTCCTTCATCACTCTGAGTTACTTCAATTCCGTCATCTCATATTCGCATGCCGTTCTTTTCTTAAATTCTTCAAACATTTCAGTACTAATTCATGTGAATATAAGATCATCCACATATATGCAAAGCCTTTTTCAACCTAATTACTTTATTCTTTTGTCCCTTCATTGTCTTCCATTGAAATTGCGCTGCTATTAAATTAGCAACCTCACTGTCTCTAGTCGGGCAACTGGGGCAAATACCTCTTCATATTCTATTCCCTGCTTTTGAATACCCATTTGACTCCTATCGCCTTTAGCAACCAGTTTTGCTTTGTATCTTTCAACATTACCATTAGCACTCCTCTTGATTTAGAATACCCATTTGACTCCTATTGCCTTCTTTCCTTTCGGGAGTGGTGTCAATTCCCGTGTTTCATTCTTTTGAATGGCTTGTATTTCTTCATTCATGGCATGATTCCATTCCTTTTGTTTTGTTGCTTCATTAAAGCTTATTAGTTCAATATCACTGAATAAGCAAAATAAAGAAGTATTATCTTCTAACCTTTCTTTCATTTCATAAAGATCAGAAAGACTTATACTTTTTTGTTCCTTCACTTGAATTAGATGAATCTCCATTTGAATGTAATAAAGGTGATAATATTTGAGGAGATGATGGTGGAGTAGTGGGAGCAGTCTCTGAAACATGTTGTGTTCGTTGAATTTTGTTCTTTAAAATAAGGATAGTTGTAAGATTCTTCCTCTTTTGTGCTCCAATCCCATGTTGCCTCTTTATGAAACTCTATGTCTCTGCTATGACTTGTTGGTGTTTGGATTAAACAACTTATAACCCTTAAACTTTTCATCATATCCAATGAAAAGATTTTTTCACTTCGATCATCAAGTTTAGACCTCAATTGCTTGGGAACTTGTGCATATGCAATGGAACCAAATACTCGAAGATGTGATACACTTGACTTCCATCCACTCTAGAGGTGTCACATTCTTTAAACTCTTTGTTGGGAAAGATTTGATAAATGCACATGCAACTGCTTTCGCTCAAAATTCTTTTGGCATCTTCTTATTTTTCAACATGGATCTTGTCATGTTGAAAATGGTTCTAAACTTCCTTTCAACAACCTCATTTTGTTGTGGTATTCTAGGAACAGTAAACGCCTGTCAAATTCCT